TCTAATTCATTATTAAAATTTAATATTTTTAATTATAATTATAATTTTAAAATTTAATAACTTTATTTTAATATTACAACACAGTAACGAAAGTTTAACAAATCATTACTTTTTTCAAGTAACGATAATATGTGCGTTACTTTTTAAAATTATGTAACAATAAGTAATGATAATATATGCTAAATAAATTACTTAATTTTTACAAAAAATAACTGTAACGCTAACACATTACTTTTTTAAGATAACAATTCTGCTTTTATATATGCAGAATAATTATACGGTGTGTGTATATACGTAGATGTATGTATGTAATATTTGTTTATTCGAAATTATATAATATATAAAATATAAATGTGTAAATCTTTGACTATTAAAGCAGTATTGGAATTTAAATCTAGAGGAAAGGCCCCTATTATAAGGTACCGAGTCCATTTCGGGTAAATGTTAGAAGTTTATGGGCAGAATTTAAAAAAATAATAGGTTATTTTGAAGAAAATTTAATAAGCTTTAAGATAATGTTATATAAAATTTAATTCAAATTTCATTTTTTTTGAAAATTAAAGAAATGTAAAAAATAAGCAAATCGCAAAGTCAAAAAATTGTGTTCCTAATATGAGATGCCCTGAGAAATCAATAATAAAACGCAAAGTATATTAGTATTGCAACTAAAAAACTTTATTTAATGTTTCTTAAATACAAACGAACACAACCAGAGTGCGCAAAAAATGAGTATACGGTACCCAGAACTCAGGTAATTGAAATCAAGTATCGCAGAAATAGGCACTCGACGTTCATTCTGGTTGACCTTTTTATTATTGTATAATAACATTTATATTTTAACAACGATTTTCATTATGACATGGGAGCATGGATTATTTCATATTAGAAATACCCTAAGTATCTCGCCTTACGATTTTGCGATCGTCAAATCTAACTTCTATAATTAAGCAATTCAACATATTCCGTATTTTTTTATTAGTACGACCTTACTCTATCACTACATAAAAAATTTATTGCCAAATATTTATTTAATTATTAAATAATAAAAAAATGTTTAAAGGTTTATTTCAATGAAACTTGAAGATATCCAAATTCTAATATCTTTTTTATGATAACTGCAGGCATGATCTAATAATGAATTTTATACTATAAACAGTTTTCAATCCAACAGCAATAAATTCATGGTGGAATTAATAGATAGCGTCAATTAGTTTAGCAAAAACGCCGCTATCTCATATTAGACGCCTATCTCATAGTAGGGGATTTTTCTCTATGTATATATACAATGTAAATTAGAGTAGTTGAACCAATTTTTTACCCTATGAGAAAATTATCGGATGCATAAATAACAGCAGAGAGAAACCTGATGAATGGACATCCCAGCCTTTTCCATGTACCAATGTAGGATAATGTTCATGTTTTTGTAGTTCTTTTCCAAAGACGAATAATTAACTTTGATTATTCGTTCTTGTCTAACTCACGTAATAGTATAGAAAAAAAACTAGAAAAAAAAACATGGACATTATCCTACGAGATTTGGTACACGAAAAAGGCTGGAATATCCACTCTCAGATTTCTCTCTGATAACGTGCGAACTACTGGTCTGAGCGCGAAAACAGACACATTTGACATTAAATTAGGAAAATAGTTATAAGATTTTATTTTTATTATACGAGATATTAAAAATGCGCCTTTTTCTCAGTATGCCTAAATCAACAATTCGCATGATGTCTTCTTCTTTAGATGCTAGACCAACCCATGGGTAGGTACTAGACCAATGAAGTCCGCAACGAAGTTTATTGCGGTATTAGGTTTAAAGAAAGTATTAGTTATAATCAATACGGTTGCCTCCCCCTTGGCAATTCAGATGCCTGCTGCCATCCAGCGGTGAATAGCGCCCCATGGGAGAGAGAAAGAGGAGCAAAAGGAGATTAAAAGAAAAGATCGCTGGTCTTCATGGCTGGCCTTGATGAAGGCCAAAAGTAGGCGACATAGTTTGATAGGAGGGGAATGCAGGGCAGAGTCTTGAGGGGAGTTTGGAAATTTATTCGCAATATAGTTTCGAATTAGAGAAGAATTTATATCGAATTTTTCACATTAAAAAATTATATGATTAACCATTTGACGAGGTTCCCCGCAGGAGCAATCCGATGAAACCACTATGTTTACTCTATGTAAATTCTCATTAACGTTAACATGATTAGATCTGAATCGATTGATGAGAACGATCTCTTCTCTCGTTAAGGCAGCCTTATGAAACCATGTCTTTGTGGAACTTGTGTAGAAATGTTTGAAGTACAGCGTACCTTTAGTGATAGAGACTTCTTTCATGAATTCTACGCTTAGTTTATTTGCCTGAACAGACGATTCTACTAAAAGATCCTCATAAGGAACTCGAAAATTGGATTTGTATCCTTCCAATGCGGCCAGCTTTGCAGCTTGGTCAGCCGATTCGTTCCAGGTAGACCTGAGTGCGCGGGTACCCAAAAATGTGTAATTTTTCTACCCCTTTTTGAAGCGTTCAAATAGGCTTGTTTAATATAATATACTATATAGTTACGCTGCACTTTTGAAAAATTTTAAAGTGCTTCAAACGCACTCTCTTCAGAGAAAATAACGTTTTAGAGAGGTCAAGATCATTGATAGCTTGTATAATCTGGTAGATAGCCACAATTCAGCCGAAAAGATGGAGGTTTCTGAAGAAAGTCTGTGCTTAATGTTATCTTCCTTTGATTATATAACTATGGACTGCTAGCTACCCCCATTCTTCCTATCTTTTTCGTAAGATGGACAAAGAGACTCGCATAGCAAACATCACGCATGCCCCCGCCAGTGAAATGGCAAAAAATCGGAACACAGTCACGTTACGATTTTTTGCCATTTCACTGAAAGAAAGAGAGAGATGAAATATGACATATGTTGCTTTATTTCATTAGGTTTAATAAAGTGCAGAATCAAAATAAAATATGCATGTATAAATATAACACACAATAGAGATAAAATATAGATAACAAGTGTTAATAAACATATATGTATATTATTTAATAGCTATTATTATATATAAATATAATTGTAATGTTCAATAGCTATACAAATAATGTTATATTATTGTCCGCTAAAAATTATAGCTTTCGTTAACGTACGTCTCAAAAGATGTTTTTGTTTAGATATTGTGCATTTCCCTTCATAAAATAATTTTATTTTGAAATAAAATGTTATTATTAATTTCTTTCTTTTCTTTGATCTTCTTCTTCTTCTAATTTTATGTGGCACTCGCCATCGAAATGATAACGATTCCGGCCAAACTTGGGTAGTAACTTCTGTTCTTTGATTTATGAAATTGAAATATACCACAAGGTATACCACAAGGGGCCATGTCTCGTGTGCCGTATCGTAATGGAATTTTGTCGCCTGGATTTTGGTCGACTTGTGGAGGCCATTGTTCATGGCATGGCTTGTCTGAGCCTGGAGCGCTGTAGGCGCGTCAGACAGAGACGTGCTTGCGCATCTCTTGGCAGGAGATATTTGCACAATTTGGTTGGGGTTTTTTTCCAATGTTTCCTGCAAGGGACGCTTTCTGATTTGAAGCTGACACTCGTCAATGTCCATGGATGTTTTGTCCAAACTACCTTGGAC